ATGTAAAATGTGTACGCTCATCTGTCCACTGTCCTCTGTTGCTTCAATAGAAGTGAACTCCAAATCATGTAATTAAACAATAGGAAAAAAGAAAATAATATCTAGATTTTCATTGTTTCTAAATAATTAGAAAAATAAAAAAATAAACAAAAAAATCCTTTCAAGAATAGAATTAAAACTTTGTATCGCACACTAGGATATTTGCACAAGCAAAAGTTGTGTGCAGTTCTTTTGAAATGGTAAAACTTGGCATGATTGGCAAGAAATTGCAAAATGAAGTCATTTTAGAACAGCTAAAACTAGCTGTACCACATTCAAGAAAGTAACGAATAATTAATTACCGGCCAGACCTTGATATCCTTTGTATCTAGGTGGACAATTAGTCGTGTATTTGCCAGAAAGTTAGAACAAAATTCTCATTTAAACTCGACGCCAGATCCCACAGTCTTATCAGATATAAATCAACCTCCATATAGGAACAATATTTTAAATACAAGGAAAAACTAAATTCTACTATAAAAGTAAATCATTTGTTCATTATTCCCCAAACATTGATTCTTTTTTTTTTCACCAATTGCAAATCTACAACCATGGAAACAACATAGTCAAATTAAAAAAAAGGCTAAGATGCATATAAGCATTCTTCACAAATGTGAACTGGACATTATGTTTGGAAGTTACAAAGTTGAAAAGAGTAAAAAAACCAACCTATCGAATGGTTTTGTAAAAGACATCTACTGCTTTGAACTCTCATACTTAACAGTGGGAAACATGCAAGTACACCATCATGGAATCAGAGTAAGATGATCATGATGGGACAGCACTTTGGCCACATGAGATTGTACCCTCATCCATATCAAGTTTGTCCTCCCTAACTTGTCAAAAATCACAAAATGCACTGTGATGAATGTTTAGTTTAGAGAAGAACAAAACAACCCAAAGTAATTACAGAAAGAATACTTATAGAAAGGTAATAAGATATCATTATTTACAAGTGTAGCAACAGGTTGAAACTTGTAATGCACACTATAAGATGCAACAACAAAGAAACATACCTTCTTTGGCTGGACTAGTCCACCAACAACAAGAACACATTTACATGATCACACATATTAAGAATCACATAATAGAAATTGTAAACACGTATGAGGAAGGAAACACGCCAGAACACTGCTTTTAATATTGGAACTTAATTGCTTACATTAGGTATGTTCAACTTTTTATATACACTAGTAATACCAAGAATATAAAATCTAAACAACTATAACTAATTCCTATAGATACGTCTACTCCTATAATCTAGGGATCTTTCTATCTAAGTTATGATTTTTCTACACTCCCCCTCAAGCTGGACTGTACAGATTGTACATGTTCAGCTTGTCTACAAACTTCTCAAACAAATATGTTGAAAGACCCTTGGTAAGGATGTCAGCCGTCTGTTCTGATGAAGGAACATATGTCACGCAGATGGTGTCATCTTCTATTTTCTCCTTTATAAAATGTTCAATATCCACATGTTTTGTCCGGTCGTGATGCACTGGATTATGTGAGATATTGATCGCTGCCTTGTTGTCACAGTAAATCTTCAACGGAGACTCCAGAGGTTCACCAATTTCTTTTAACAAATTCTTCAGCCACAAAGCCTCACAAATACCGTGAGCTAATGATCTCAACTCAGCTTCAGCGCTACTTCTAGCCACACCTGGCTGTTTTATACTCCTCCAAGTTACTAGGTTCCCCCAAACAAAAGTCCAGTAACCAGAGGTTGATCTCCTGTCCTCTATTGCCCCGGCCCAATCAACATCGGTGTATGCTTCAACATTTCTTTCTCCAAATTTTCTGAAGAAAAGTCCTCTCCCTGGAGTGCCCTTGAGATACCGAAGTATTCTAAGGACTGCGTCGAAGTGTTCACTATTTGGAGCATGCATGAATTCGCTAACACGGCTAACTGCAAAGGCGATATCCGGCCGAGTATGAGACAGGTAGATAAGTCGACCAACAAGACGCTGGCATCTTCCTTTCTCAACCGGCTCGCTGTTACCATTATTATCCAGTTTTTTATTGAAGTCAACTGGTGTTTCCATAGGTTTGCAGCCCATCATTCCTGTGTCTCGCAGAAGATCTAACACATATTTCCGTTGTGACACTGAGATCCCTGTTTTATTCCTTGCAACTTCCATGCCGAGAAAGTACCTAAGACTCCCTAGATCTTTCATTTCAAATTCTGCAGCCAATTCCTTCTTCAGTCTTTCCATTTCCATTGTATCACTCCCTATCAAGACTATATCGTCCACATAAACTATGAGAATAGTTATTCCCTCATTATTCCGTTTAAAGAATAAAGTGTGATCTGCCTGGGCTTGCTGATATCCTTGTTGAAGTGTTGCTTTTGCGAATCTCCCAAACCACACTCTTGGTGACTGCTTAAGTCCTTATAAGGACTTCTTAAGCCTGCACACTTTACCATTGCTGCCTTCTCGATCAAAACCAGGAGGAAGCTCCATATAAACTTCTTCTTCTAAGTCTCCATTTAGAAAGGCGTTCTTAACATCTAATTGCTGCAAAGGCCATTCAAGGTTTACCGCAAGAGAAAGGAGAACTCGAAGTGTTCTTCTTAGCTACTGGAGCGAATGTCTCCTGATAATCCACCCCATATGTTTGTGTATAACCTTTAGTAACCAGCCTTGCCTTGAACCTTTCCACCGAGCCATCAGCCTTGTATTTAATGGTAAACACCCATCTACAGCCAACGGGCTCCTTACCCTTCGGTTTTTGTACCACTTCCCACGTACCATTACTCTCCAATGCTTCCATCTCATTCATTATAGCCTTTTTCCATACTGGTTTGTTCAACGCCTCCTGCACTGTTTGTGGAATTTCTTGATCTTCCAGGTTTGACACAAGGGCTTGAACAGAGTCAGACAAATGATTATAGGCTACAAATCTTGATATTGGATGATTGGTGCAAGACCGAATACCCCTTCTAACCGCTACAGGCAGATGGAGATCAGAAAACTTATCTTTCATACCTGATTTCGAGTCAGATTCTGGGCAGTGTGGAGCTTGCAGGTCGCAATTACCCTTCGAACCTTTTTTTCCGTGCATATTTTAGATCAAACAATTGTTCTGGACGGGAAGCTTGGCTCTGTTCTAGGTTGTCTGCGGAAATCTGATTTTGTGGAGTATCTATCCGATAGTTTGGATCAGAGGTTTGTGAAAGATTTTGAATCAAATTTGGATGTTTTTCTAAGGTCGAGATTTGCGGAGATGGATTTTGGATTTGAGGGTAATTCTCTCGGGATATCTCTGGAGAAATTGAGTTCGAATCAAGCACAAATTTTTGAGATCCAGCTGGCTGATTTTGTGGTCCAGTTGGCTGATTTTTTGGGCTTTGAAAAATTTGTGCTGGCGGATTTTGTGGACCAGCTGGCGGATTTTCTGGGCTTTGAAAATTTTGTGGCTGGAGACGGATTTTGTGGGGGGTTTAAAGTCTCTGAGGTTGGCAAAGAGGATATCTTGAGAGGCTTGTTTGAATGGGGGGAAATATGCCAAAAATACTCCCATAAATCCGGATTTTTTGAATTGTCCTCAGAAAAGTTTTCTTCACAGTTGTGCTCCCCCTGAAGAGAATTTTTCTGGAAAAAGAATTGGTCTTCAAAGAACGTGACATCTTTGGACACAATATTTTCTCCTCTCTATCGAGTAACACTTGTATCCTTTCTGAGTGGTGGAATATCCAACAAGGACGCATTTGTGAGATCGAGGATCAAATTTGCTCCTATGGGGATCTAGATTATGAACAAACGCTAGGCATCCAAAGACACGAAATTCCAAAGGAGTAGAGGGTCGTGTGTCAGGATAAAATTGCTGAAAATAGTCAATAGGAGTTTGATGTTTCAACACACGTGAGGGAATACGGTTAATCAAATAACAAGCAGTGAGAACTGCATCACCCCAAAAGGTTTTTGGTATATTGGTTGTGAACATAAGAGAACGAGAAACATTTAACAAATGTCGGTTCTTTCTTTCTGAGACACCGTTTTGTTGTGGACTATCAACACACGAACTTTGATGAACAATACCATTTTTTAAGAGAAAATCTCCTAGGACAGTATTAAAAAATTCTCTACCATTATCGGTGCGTAACATACGAATATTTTCATTAAACTGAGTGTGAATCATGGAGTGGAAGTTTTGAAACACAGTCGCAACTTCAGACTTTTCTCTTAAAAGATAGACCCAACAAACACGAGTATGATCATCAGTAAAAGTAACGAACCATTTTTTTCGTGCGAGTGTCACAATGCTCCCCAAATATCACTATGAATTAGGGCAAATGGTTTAGATGCGTGATAAGGTTGAGGTGGAAAAGGAACACGAGTATGTTTAGCCAACTGACAAATTTCACATTGAAATGAATCATCATTTTTAAACAAGGATGGAAACAAAAATGTCATATAACTGAAGCTTGGATGTCCTAGTCTATTATGAAGCAAAATAATGTGCTGAAGTCGAGAGTTTGAGGAGGTGCTAACAACCGTTTGAACCAAACCACGCACAGAAAAATCATCCTCAAAGTAATAGAGACCAGCAAGTTCCCTAGCACTGCCAATCTTCTTCCCCGAAATCCGGTCCTGAAAAACACAAGAAGAAGGAGAAAATTTCACGATACAATCCATATCACGGGTAAGCTTGCTAATGGACAACAAATTGCAAGACAAGTTGGGAACATGTAATACGGATTTCAAAACAATATTTGATCCAAGTTGGATGGATCCACTTCCAGCAACAGCGGAAAAAGAACCATCGGCGATCTTAACGCGATGATTTCCAGGACTTGGAGAATAAGACATGAACAATTTTTCACAACCTGTCATATGATCGGTTGCCCCGGAATCAATAATCCAAGGTTCTGCTTTTGTAGTCAGGCCACCGAAGGAATTTACAGAGGTACCTTGCTGGGCTATCAAAGAGGCAGACTGTGTTGCAGAAAACATTTTTCAAAGTTGATCTAACTGCTCCTTTGAGAAGGTTGTGCCAAGTTGATTATCTGCCACTACGTCGGATGAAACCTGCATCCCTTTTCCATCACGTCCTTTAGCACGATTTGGAGTCCAGACAGCAGGCTTACCGTGAAGTTTCCAACATGTCTCTCGAGTGTGGTATGGTTTTTTGCAATGATCGCACCATTTCTTCAAGCCTCGCGCATCTGTACGAGAGTCCAAACCACAAGTCACCAAACCATACGAGTCGGTGGAAGGTGTAGTTTGAACAGTCTTCGAAAAATTGCCAAGCATCACTCTCCTACGATGTTCTTCATGTCGGATTTCTGCAAAGATTTCGCCAATATTCGGCAATGGCTTCAATGCAATCAAACGACTGCGGACATCATCAAGCTCTGGATTCAGGCCAGCCAGGAAATCATAGGTGCGATCGGCAACGGCATCGTCCGTGCTTTTCCACGGTCGAGTGATAAATAGATCCAACTCCTGCCAGAGTTTTGTCAGCTCAGTATAATACTGAGTAACATCATTCTCCCCCTGTCGGAGATTGCGAGCACGAGTTCTCAATTCAAACATTTGAGACGAGTTCTGCAGATCTGAGTAAGCAAGAGAGACGGCATCCCAAATACTTTTCGCCGTCGGGAATAAAATATAGGTATCAGCAATGTGATCCTCCATAGAATGAATAAGCCACGCCATGACCATCGAGTTCTGTGATTCCTAAGCAGAGTACTTTGGATCATCAGGGGTCGGCTGTGGAATAGTTCCATCAAGATACCCTTGTCTTCCCTTACCACGGACGACCATCATCACAAAACGGGACCATTTGAGAAAGTTCTTCCCATTCAATTTTTGGGTTGTAATTTGTAGGGAAGTGTGGGACTGAATATCAGATATTGCAGTGGGAATAATTTTAGGGATTGGTTGGATGGAGCCCGAAGAGACTTTTGAACCATCACCCCTGCTTGTTCCATTATCAGCCATTGTTTTCCTCAACTCACACTTAATTTAGTTTGGCTCTGATACCATGTAAACAAGTATGAGGAAGGAAACACGCCAGAACACTGCTTTTAATATTGGAACATAATTGATTACATTAGGATGTTCAGCTTTTTATATACACTAGTAATACCAAGAATATAAAATCTAAACAACTGTAACTAATTCCTATAGATACGTCTACTCCTATAATCTAGGGATCTTTCTATCTAAGTCCTGATTTTTCTACAGAAATATTAATGGAGCAATTAATGGAAGAGAAATTTGTAATCATATGACTATGCTACTATCAGAGCAACTATGGCATGAGTTATGATCTATCAAACATTAGCAACTAAGAAATTCGTGCCAACATTTGATCATAAGATTGATATTTTCTTGATGGAATTAACACTCTTTGCAACAAATATATCCTGCGTTTATATCTCACAGCAACCAAACACTATGAAAGTTACCCATTACACAAGAAATTCACACGCATGCAAGTGCAGATTTATGTTTCAAATAATTAAAATGAAAGGAGATAGAACAGACAACAATTACTCTGATAATGGTCTCTGTCACAAGTCCAAATCGATGGCTCTTTGTTTATCTGAATGCATACAGGGAGAGCACTAACAAAAGGCAGAGAGAGATGAAAGAATAAGGAAAGAGAAAAAAGCTGGAGAAAAGAATGGAAAAAAAGGGAGGGGGGTGGGGGAGACAACCTAAGAAAGAAAAGAGAAAAATCAAAAACCAAAAAAAAAAAAAAAAAACAAAGAGCACAAAAGGAATGAACCTAGTTCTCAAATAGTGACTAAAAAAGAACCCAGAGATTTATAATAGAAAGGAATGAATAGTGACTAAAAAGAACCATAACCATTATTTCTATCTTTATTGCAATGTTCCCTTCAATATTAAGTTCTTAAATAGTAAGATTCCGACAGGAAAATAACTCACATAATTTAGGTATTAACTAAGATCGATCTCTTAATTTATAAGTTAAAAGAGAGAATGAGTCAAAAATAAATAAATAAAATCACCATGGCTGAATAGACCCTTAGGTGTTGTAGCCTAATTAGCGCCCAAAGCCAACAAAATAAACCCAATAATAGAAAAAGAGGAGCAAAAGGATTATGAGACAGATAAGGCAGCAACTCACCAAAAGAAAAGCATAAGAGGCATTTAAGATTAGGGCAAAACTAAACCGTAGAGATATTTACCATTCAGCGATTTCCACCGAGCGAAAAAGGAAACGCTAAAAATTAACAAGGGCAAGGCTCAGAAGAGCATTGAAGAAATATTTATGAAAGTCATACTCTATGCTGTTGAGAATAAAAAAAAAATGGTACAAAACTAATGGGTAAGAGGAGATGAAGTGAGGGAGAACAACGACATGAACACCTACGAAAAGAAAGATGAAGAGAGGACAGGATTTACAAGCAAGAGGAAACCGATGAGTAATAAAAGGGGAAGATGATGAATTTTTTAAATTTTTTTTTTTTTTTTCAAATCCCATCTGATAAAGGTTAAAGAAGCAATTCCCAAAGAAATGCTACGGGAAAGCTCCGAACTAAATTCAATAAACTTGGATTATCAAAGTCCTTATATCAGTATACCCACCAAAAGAAAAACCCTAATATTTTCACTTTATTCCACAAAACAAAACTATCCCTTCACCTTAAATATTTTAAAAAATCTTGCATTTCCTTCCTAGTATCATCAAAGTCCTTATATCAGTGTACCCACCAAAAGAAAAACCCTAATATTTCACTTTATCCCACAAAACAAAACTATCCCTTCACCTTAAATATTTTAAAAAATCTTGCATTTCCTTCCTAGCCAAATACCTCAAAAGATTGATAGCGTAGCAACTTCCTAAAGACTTCTGCCCCTAAGTCTAAAATTAGAAGGAAGGGAGGAACCACTCAATCAATTCTCTGCAGTTCCTAGGCAAGACTTAGAGATTCCTAACTCTTTCCGCAAAAGTGACCAGATATGGAGTGAGTAATGGCAGTGTTACGAGGAAATAACAAGATCGCATTTTATGAACCAACCAATTTAACCTTAGAATCTTCAATAAAATTACCAACAATACAAAAAAAAATTCATAAAAGATGCCATATTATCACAAGTCAGAGAAGCAAAAAAAAAGTTCAAATATTAAAGAGAGAGAGACACACACACACAAATCACCCTCTTTTGAAGGGGGCGGAGTTCGAAGGGAAGCAAGCAAGCAAGCAAGCAGCGGTCACGAGACTCCAAGGAGAGCTTCTGTTAGAGACGAAAAAAGAGAAAAATATAAGTTACACACTAAACATACAGAGTCAACCCATCCATGGGTTTTAAAAGCGTCCGCGGGGCACGGCCCGGGGTGAGGCGTTTCTTCACCACCTGTGCATGCCTCCAAGTTGCGCCTCACGCGTTTGTAGAGGCGTGCGCCTCTTTGCTTCTGTGTTTTTGTGGGGTTTTCAAAACCCAATATGCTTGGGCCCAAAATTTAAAAGCCAACCCAAATTAAATTGGCCCAGAAAACATAAAAAAACCCTAAGAAATTAGAACAACAGACTATTAGAGATTAGAAGTTGAGAACAACCAACTAGCACACTATCTCTCCTTCACGTCAATTATCTCTCCTTCAAGCTTCGACCCTTAAAGAGCAACAAGATAGTAGGTACCTTTCTAAACTTGCTTCTTTTTTTTCCCCTTCTCTTGGTGGATATCAATTATCCACCAACGCAAAAATTATGGTTCACGGATTTAATATTTTAGCTTAATGTGGTGGCTTTTTTTTTTTGGTTGATTTATGAATTAATAGTTTTCTTATATAACGTTAATTATAATTATCATATTGATACAAGAGCACAGGTAAATCACATGTAAAGATGCAATTACTTAAGTATTATTGAATTGAACAACTATCGAAAAGATTCAATGAGAATCTACTTCTACTCAAAGATATCCCCCTTATTTCCCCCCAAAACCGTTATTCCTCTACATTAGGCAGCCCTTCTACAGAATTCCCTTTTTGCCCTTGCCTTTTATTCCTCCTCACGTAAGTGAAATACACCGGTGGCTTATCATTACCCGCCGCCTAAATCTGCACCTTGTCCTCAAGGTGAAAAAAAGGAAAATGATGTTGGATAGTCGAAAAGGACTCCCAGGTAGCATCAAAGGCAGGCATTCCCTGCCAATGAATCAACACTTCCACATCACCCAAGCTGCCCGCCCGAGGTTGGCGAACGCCTAAAACCTCCGCCGGCTCCATCAACATCTCCATGTCCGCAGAAAGCTGAGCAGGGAGCTCCTGAGAGGCCTCAGCAGACCCCAAACAACGCTTGAGTTGGGCAACATGGAAAACTGGGTGGATTTGTGCTGAAGCAGGTAGCCGCAATCGGTAAGCCACCTTACCAATCCGTTGTTCCACCTCATATGGGCCAAAGAAACGGGGAGCCAACTTCCCATTTCGCCGACAAGACAATGACTGTTGCCGGTAAGGGCGCAGCTTCAAATACACCAAGTCACCCTCCGTGAATTCAACATCCTGCCTCTTCCCATCGGCCACACTTTTCATTTTGTCTTGTGCCCGTAACAAATGCAACTTCAAGGCATCCAAAGCAGCATCTCGGTCCTCCAACTGACGTTCGATCGAAGCCACCGCTGTCTTACCGGAGCCAAACCGAAGCAATGGTGGAGGATCGCGGCCATACACCACACGAAAGGGTGTAGTATGAGCTGCAGAATGATATGATGTGTTATACCAGTACTCAGCCCAAGCCAACCAACGCATCATTGGCGAGGCTTGTCCGACGCAAAACAACGCAAATACGTCTCCACACACCGGTTGACCACCTCCGACTGTCCGTCCATTTGAGGGTGATACGCGGTACTCCGCTTGAGCTTAGTCCCCTGTAAACGAAACAACTCAGTCCAGAAACCGCTTAAAAAAACCTTGTCGCGGTTAGACACAATGGAGCGAGGGATCCCATGCAAGCGAACCACCTCCCGCATAAACAGATTGGCCACAACCGGGGCTGTAAAAGGGTTGCGAAGTGCCAAGAAATGAGCATACTTACTCAATCTATCCACCACGACCATGATAGTATCATAGCCCTCAGATTTAGGAAGGCCTTCAATAAAATCCATGGACAAATCGTCCCAAATCTGATCCGGAACTAGAAGAGGTTGCAAAAGCCCCGCGGGCAATAGATTGGAATGCTTGTTCCGCTGATAAACCGAACAACGACCCACATACTCCTTAATATCCTTAAACATGCCCACCCAATACCAAGTCGAGGCTAGGCGACGATAGGTTTTGAAAACCCCCGAATGCCCGCCAACCGGACCATCATGCGCCTCCTTTAATAAGGTGGCAACAAACGGAGAGGACTTGGCAATAACTAGTCGCCCTTTGTACAAAAGCCGACCCTGCTCCAAAGAGAAACCAGGGTAGCTAGTGATATCGTGTGACAAGGCCTGACAAATCTCAGACAACCGAGGATCCAATAGCACTTGCTACTGTAGCTCTTCATAATCCCAACCCTGGACACATGATATCGTGCAAAGAGATGACACTGCCCATGCGAGAAAGCGCATCAGCGGCCTTGTTCTCTAATCCCGGCCGATAATGGATGTCAAAGTCATACCCCAGCAACTTAGTAATCCATTTTTGATGCTCCATACTTACCAACCGCTGCTCCAACAAAAATTTCAAACTCTGT